ATTCGATCTTGCTTTCCTTCAGTACTCAAAGAAGCAAGACAGTGGCGTTTACAAGAGGAAAGGTTTGGGTTTGGTATTGAAAATTGAATTGACTGAAACTTAAGAGATCGTATTATTTCTTCTGATTTTTATAAGTTAACTATCCAATTTTGTCTCTTGTTTTATTAAAAGATGATAACTGGGACTATCTTTCTAGTTATTCACTACATAAAGAAGCAATCCTTTAGAATACTATTTCTGCTTAATTACTGTATTGTGCTCTCAGCAACTAGTGCTCTTCATAGTTGCAACATGTTGCAAACACGCGCTAAATGCATCCAGTGTTTATAGTAATTATCAGCTAAATGTATCTTTATGTATTATGCTTAGAACTTACATTCTTATACTAGCCTAGCTTCAAATGCTGATGTGAATAAACTCTTTAGGCTTGGTCAAAGAAGTCGAAAAACGGAATATCATTTATAAATTTACTATTGAGTATTATAAAAGATATCAATCGAGCTCCTATTGTTCCATTTGGCTATTATAATATTTGATATGATTGCATTCGAATTTTTCCTTGGTATATACAATCCTTTAAATTTCCTCAACAAATATAATGTTGAAGCAAATAATCCCTATTAAACTCTATCTGATGGGAACCACTTAACTTTACTTCAGTTCTTTCCTTGAATTCGCAGTTCTGGTTCAATTTGTACCTTACATGTTGAATTTTGTCCATGACTTGGGGTTATAAGCAAAATTTAGGGTATTTTAAGTAATACCTTCTATAGGTCTGCGTAGATTATTACTAATCCTGTTATATTTTTTTAAAAGCTACTTTGGACTGAAACCTTATGTAAATCCAGACAGGTAAAATTGATAAAGGATTGTTATTGATGTTTAAGGATGGTAATACTGTTGGGTTGTCTGACGTTGTATTTAAAATAAGTAAATATCTGGATTTATGAGACCTGAACTACCAGCACTTAATACCTGAACTAAAGGACAGTTAAATATTTAACAGCTAAATTTTAAAGCACAGTTACATATCTTTTAGATGTGGTGATATAAGCTGCTAGTATTGCAACTCCAGTTTTTGAACTCAATCATAACTGGAAGTCTGGACACTAAGTTAAGATTGATAAAGTGTATCATATCCGTGTATATCAGTAATAAAGTAGTTAATATTCTCCTCTCCATCGATCAACAAGCTTTTAATAAATTTAATAAAAAAATAAATGTAAATATAAACTGAAAATTTATTTCAAATTTTAAATACTAACATTTTTTTAATCCCTTAATAGTCCTATAATATTTGTTGATATTATATCCGCATTCAAATAATTCAAAATAGTGTACAAAAAATAATTCAGGAAAATTGTGAAAACTTTTTCATGGAAACATCCATTTTTTAATAGTGAATTTTTATATGCAAATTTGTGTGGAAAATTAACATAAAATGGCATTTTGCTTATCGCTCCGGGCTGGTAGCCATTTTAACATTCATGCACATTTGTAAACCAAAGGAAAAATCATATATCTTCGACTGCGAGAGAAAGGAATATGCTTGGGAAGCCATTTACAAATGGAAACATTTCACACTTTCACAACGGCAACCGAAGGATATTCCAACTGCATTTGAATATGCACGTAAACAATTTACAAACGTGCATGGAAATGCTAATATTTGCTTCCCAAAAAACCGAAAGGACCAAGAACTTATAGCCAAAAATGCTTACTGAAATATTTATTCTAATATAAAAAAGCATTAACCGTGGCGAATTGAAAATGCATTATTATTACACAAAAAACTGAAATTTAAACGTTTTATACATACAATGTACTTAGAAAGCTAACAATAGAGTTTGTTGTATTCTTTAAGTGGGTCCTTAATGCATTAAATTTTTTAAGTCTCTATTAAAAATTTAAATAATAACTTAGAAATCTTACCATCTATTTATAGATTGGCAGTTAAGATGCAGTTAAGATACTTAATTACCGATTTAGTTGATGTTGGCGAAATTTTAAAGTTCTAGACCACGTTAAGTAACACCCGCTAACCAAGCAACACCCGCCAATTAAAGCAAACCTGCAGTTCGTGTGCTTACTGGAGTATTGACGGGGCACTGTGCTATTGCTCCTATGCTCCAATGATCTCGAGTTATTGGATCTCCTTAACTTCATCTAGAAAACCAAATGGTTTAACAAGGATAGCAACTCGCCTCTCCCGGCAAAATTTTTCAAGGGCATCACAATGAGCAATATATACCTCAGAGTGGAAGCGCCTTCCGAACCTAACCTAACCTATCGCCAATTGATGTTGTTGTTGTGAAACGAGTATAACTACATATCGGAAGACATGGAACAAATTCAAAATACGTATACATGGGTTAGAAAATAGAATGTGTAGCAAGTGAGTAAAAGGAAAATGTATTCTGTGGGAGAAGCAATATATGAAACTGCTCAAATATGTGAATTCGCGGTATAAATGTTTTCTCTTCTCTAGCTGATCTCTTTTCATTTCCAAAATTTTGATGTTAATTTTCCCAAATCTATAGCACATCACACCTTCTCTTTTGCTCTTGAAGCGAAGAAAAGTCCCCATATACTTCATCCTTAATAACTTTCATTTACTTTGAGCACTTTGTAAATTTCAATTCGAGTTAAATCTTATTCATTACCTTTTCATCAGGATCAAGTACCTCAATAAGAGAATGGTAACGTTACTGGAAACAATCACATTCCGTAGTCAGATTTATTTTTAACAATTAGCTAACTACTCGTTTTCCAGCTTTCCTAATCGTTTTCAGCTTTAATGTTGATTCCACCAAAATCATAACATACCATATCATCGCTTTTCATTATTCAAAGATAATATTTAAAAATTATAAAGATTAATATAAATATAAAGATTATTATAAAGAGATGAACGTTTCACACAGTACCTTTTTCTATCTTAATCATCTATTTATGTATTGATTATCAGATAAAATATATTTCGCATTTGAAGGAACTTCTCCTATTAAAAGATATGGTATGTCTTACAAGTCAATTGTTTTCAACCAGAGGCATACTTAGGATTCTCAAAGTTTAGTAGTACTCTTTTGATTATTCAAAATAAATTAATGGGTATAGAAATAGAAAAAAATTTCAAAAAAATTATATCTCTTATTCAATGTTTATTAACAATTACTTTTTTATTCTTTACAGTTTTCGATATGTTCTGAAAAAGCTTGGTATCGAATATTAAAATATATATGAAACAAAAAGATGGAATTTAAATTTAAGTTTTCTGTAACAAAGATAAAGAAAGCAATTCATAAATTTTATACTTAATAACTATATAATATTTATACGTACAAACATTACAACAACAAAGAACATCTAGATACGTAACAATTTTTAAACCATTTTAAGACAATGAAAATAATTGGTAAAAAATACATTAGTAAGAACAGAGTATTTTGCTAAAATATATTTGTCTATAATACTTAGATAAGTACAGTTATAAATTTATATATGTACTTGTGTTCTACTTATGTGCTTATATCATATATATATGATTCTATTTCCATATTGTAGTTTAAAAATGGTTTTTAAAAATGTTATAAAAATCTTAATGTCAGATATGATGGTAAAAAATAATTCGATTGAAATAAAGCAAGCACTGAAACTATATACATAGTTAATGAAGAAATATTATAGATAGATTCACTTCCTTGGTACTATGACAGAAAAATTTTGCAAGTAAAAGAGTTTATAACCGGCGACATCAGATTATTCCATGTATTCGTAATGTTGTCTATAATAGGTAGAGAGTTGTCCATATATATATAAACTCTTTAATATTGTCTGTTGTAGTCAGCCGTTTGAAGTACCAAAAACGAACGTCCTAAAAGCATGTAAAAAAAATTAATTAAACATAATAATTAAAAACATAGAACAACAAAGTTAAAAACTAAAGATAATATATAGTATAAGCGCTCTTAAATGGACATCTACGAGACTAGCAGTTCAATCCTATTTTCAAAAAGATTACTTGACCGCAATGCGGAAACCGGCTCTAAAACGTGGAAATTAACGGTTTAGCTCATCTACAACTCTGTTCTTGCGTCAATTATCTAGAATATCATATACGATGGTGTTCTTGGAATCAAAAAGCCAGAAAGATTTGACTTAATTGGGTATGCAAATGATATTGCAATAGAGATAATTATTAAAACTCTAAATAAAGAAGTTGGAGAATCTTAGCAACAAAACAACAGATTGGAGCTTGTTGATCACAAAGCAGAGGTACTTTTAATGAGCAGTAGAAAAAATCAATTAAAACTGGCGGTAGTGAAATAAATTCTGGGCTACAATTTACATATATCATCCTAGGTATATTGTAAATACATTTGAACTTATTCGAAAATAAGTTCTCTACATTCTACAAGATGATATCCCGATTAATGCCAAACATATGAGGCCAAACAGAGATGCTTCACGAATGCTTTTGGCTTCATTTTCAAAATCAGTTATATTGTGTGATTATAGACTGTCAAAACTTCGCATTTATCGGACATACTGTAGAGTTTGGAGCGAAGCTGCGGAAGTGCTGACCGAACATTTTCTAGTAGATCTAGAAGCGCTTGCTGTAGGCGATTGGTTTTTCTGCGTTCACCCACATACAATCATTGTCAATTCCTTATCTAGAAATCAGGGACAAGATTGACACATTTCATTCATAAAGATAAATCGAGTAATCGAAGATCTGGAATTATTATTACCACAATTTCTAATTGGACATGAATGTTTTTGTGATTAACTCGTATAAATTTGCAAGAATTTTTAGCTGCGGCTTTTAACTTAAGAGCGTATACGATTTGTAGATCCAGAAACTTCAATCGACGAAGAAAGCCCTTCTTACATCCAAAAGCAGATGAATACAACCTTTGAAGAGTGGAACTTACACAAGGTTTATCATCTTTGGAATAATAAACACGATCTAATTATGAAATCTAAAGAATTTAAAAGATCTGAAGCATGATTATTAGCCCTGTAAAGATATAGGTACCCTTAAAGGTCCTACTACAGCTCTCTATTTCGATGTTGAGTGTGTGAGAATTTATATGTCTATGGACTATAGACATAGAAATTTTTTTCTTCCAGTTTCGGTACAAAAAAATTCTAATTTTTATAAAAATTGAAAACTTTCGACTAACGACATTGCACTGTTAGAAGATATGTCCATTTAATAGAGCTTTAACTGTAATCCTAATAACATAAATTTATTAATAAAATTATAAATGCAATAAAAATGCACACATATTTATATAATTAGCATTTAAATTCTTTAATATAATTATATATATATATATATGTATACATATATATAAATAAAATAATTATTTATAAATATAACCAATTTTTAAATGAACTTTGTTTGTTTACTTTAAAAAATATATCTTTGAAGGTTGAGTTCAATTAATGAACAAGAATATTTTAATTAGTAATAGAATGAATAGTAAACATAGAAAATTGGCAGAATATTGTTTTTTTTTTAATTTAACAGTTTTTTTTGTTTTTGGTATATAGTGAACCTTACATTTTATGCCCTAAGATCCTTGAGGTTTGATTTTAATTTAACATATTCAAAATAAAATCAACTCTCATATTTTATATGCAGCTCGACAAAAATGCAACTTAAATTACACTACACAATTTTGTATCCAACATGTATTTTACAAGGACTATTTATTGTAGTATCCATATGCACAATACTTAAAACAGGGAGCAACATAACAACAATTGTCATTATCATCGTCAACATCATTTATTCTAATCTTCACTGCAAACAAACCCATTTCATGTTTTCCAAAGAACATTTTAATTAATTTCAGAAACTTTGCAAGATTTGCTCAGCAATTAGTCAAATCTGCACAAATGTACGATGCCATGCACTTCAAGAGATATACAGGGATATGCACATAAATCTGTGTCTATATGTGATGTGAGATACTCGTACACAACAATGTCTATGACTACAAACAGAAAAAAAATGTAACTAAAACAAAAATTTTCATTCTCAAAGATTGTAAAATTTTTGGTTTCTCTAGTTGAACTGACGTTTAGACTAAGCGTAAAGTGTTTTTTGGGTTTTATTTGTAGAGTTTAAGGGTCACGTTTCATATTGCAACCCTTAATAAATGAGTTTGGGAAGGAATTACTTGCAGTTTCTTTGCATGCTTCACTCTAAAATATGGACAGCTTAAAACTTTAAATTGGATCTATTAATACCTTTCTTTTTTTATTTTATATATGACAGATTAGTTAGTATTTAATAGACGTCAGTTCATTTAATGGATGGCAGCTTAGATAATTAAGATTCTATTTTATATTAAAAATGATTGGAAAATAAACAAAAAAAAGTGGAATATGCATATAAACTCGAGTCGTGGCCACCTTTATCATTTATTGATCATTTTTATATGAAAATTGATCATAATAATATAAATTTAATTATAATAAAAAAATGTATAAAAAATAATTTTTTCAAAAAATTTATAAAATTATAGTTAAGTATAATTTTTATAATTCTATAAAATCATATATTAATATGTATTAATAAATAATTTTTTGTATCAATATAGAATTATTGAATTTTGCTATTTAATATAAATATATTAATAATTTTGTAGTAATTATAAATTATATATAAATTATTATTTGCAACACTTCACTCATATTTCCATATATAGTATAATAACTTCATATATAGCTTCATATATAACTTGATATATTTCTGGGGTATATTTACTTAGCATTATCCACAAAATTTTGTATTTTTGTTATTTAAAAATTGTTAAGTAGACTTCCAATAGATTTTAATTTAAATACTACTGTCAATATATAAATAAAGGCATTTACTTACTGTGTAATAGTATCCTTATTGGAAATAAATTTATTCATTTACTGCTTCTATTCAATATATTGTTGTATGATGTTGTACATATTTTTTTTTGTTTTTTTTTTAATTTTTTTGCATATTCTTATGTTCCTAGAAGGTAACCTAGAAGTGTAAATTTTTATAATTTACATATAATAATTTTTTAATTTTTAATAATTTAACTATTTGGCATAATTTGTTAGTTTAAAAAGGATTGTTCGTTTTATGAATCTCATTTAGTAGGAAGATATTTAAATATACGTGCAATAGAATAGAAGTCTACAACTTTTTTAATTCGGATAAATTTCAAGTTGTCGTTTATATATACATATATCAATCTCTACATAAGTTCGGTTAAGATTATAAGTTTGATTTCATATCCTTTAGCTTTTAAAGTCAAATAAGTTTTCTAAAACAAAAATTCTTTAAAATGATATTTTTTAATAATATATTCGTAACGAATATTTGTAGGTTATAACCCGGTTAGCCTAACCTAACCTAACTTAACCTAATCTAACCTAACCTAACCTAACCTAACCTAACCTAACCTAACCTAACCTAACCTAACCTAACCTAACCTAACCTAACCTAACCCAAACTAACCTAACCTAACCTAACCTAACCTAACCTAACCTAACCTAATTTAACCTAACCTAACCTAACCTAACCTAACCTAACCTAACCTAACCTAACCTAACCTAACCTAACCTAACCTAACCTAACCTAACCCGGTTTCCATACTAAATGTGGACCTGCACCTACGAGCTTTCTTTAATTTTTCGAGCGAAATAAGAATAATAAAACATTTGAGAATTGCTCCATGCAGAATATGCAAAACAGTTTAAAATACCCGTAGTGCAGCATTTCGCCACTGACAAGGAGCAGTAGAAGAAAATTTTTGATGCAAGGATTCGTATATTTGCTCGAACTTGTTTAGAATGTCGTTGGAGAAAGAAAAACTTTTGGCTCTTCTTTTTTTTTTTTGAAAAAAAAATCTTTAATGAATATTCATTTTATCAGAGCAAAACTTTTTTTAAAAAAATTTTTTTTTATGTTTTAAAGTTATTCCGAATAAAAGGACAATTAAAACATTATAGATAGAATAATAAATAAATTTGCATGCAAAGAAAATCATAAAAATTTACTTACATTTGAGTATTTTTTTTTTTGTTTATTATATTATAAAGCCATAAACACCTTCCATTACTCAGTTTAGTTGGAAAAAATCAGGTGACAATGATTTTCCTCAGTACTTATGGCTATAAAAGCTAACATGTTAATAATAATAAATTAATAATTTTATAGTTACTTTACCTTGAGTGTAAGTTATGAATCTGAATTTGATTGGAGCCCATCGCACCATTCGCAGTAAACGTCTATGGGCTCGCTCAAGTAATTAATTTTTACCTGATGGGTGACGTTACAAATGTGGCAACTTAATATAGCCCTGTTCAACTGTTTGCGCCTATATTGATAGAATATAAAATTAAGTATACATTACGCACATATTTGGTTATAGTAACCAATATGTTTAATAAAAAAAATTAAAAAACGTTGTTAGTACACACATATCGATGGACACTGATTTTTGCCC